CTAAGAGGATCTGTAAATAACAGTGTTTAGGAGTGGGTTCTGGAATCAGAACAACCTGGTTTCTAATCCCAGTTCGGCCATTTGTAGCTCTTTGATCTTGAGCAATGTACCTAATGTTTCTGGGTCTTAGAGAAATGTAACCCTCTTTCCCATTACATGACATGGATCTAATAATAGCACTTACCTCGCAGTGTTATTATAAGGGTAAAAATAAGAGAGATAATGTATGTAAAGCACAGGGCACAATGCCTGACATATATGATGCATAAATAAATATTAGTTTTTACTATTACTAGAGTAAAATCTTGATTAATCACGTTAATGAAAGGCTACTAAAACAAAAAAAAAAGTTAGCCGCACTGACACTGAATAATTTTGAATATACGACCTTTGAAATAGTCATGATATTTTTAAACTTATATTTAATTTTTGCCTGATGTCTGGCAATCTACAACACTTCAAAGCAACTAATAAAGCCAAAATGTGAAAGACTGGGCTAGAGAATAACTCCTTTGCTTGGAATTATTCCCTATTGGACAAGTGAAAAAAGTCAACTCTGCCTCTCACATTACTAAAAACCACCACCATAAATGAACTGCCCCTTCTCTCTAAATGTATGGCTTTTTAATCTTGGTGTGGATTGGAGGAAGTATTTAAGGAGCAGGTTTCAAAGGCCTCCTGGTGCACTGCTAAATAGAACTGAAACAAAACAGATGGTCAGATAGCAACCAACAGATTCTCAGTCTGTTTAACTTTATCAGTAAGAAATGCAACCTATCATTCACCCTTGACATTTCAATTAAATCAGAAAGTAGTCCCATAAAATACATGTTTGTACAATATATATTTTAGAAAAGAATTTAGAGATTAACTAGAGAATTAGAATATTTTACCTGATTGTGGGTAGGGCTTTAATTTATTTTTTTCCAAGCTAACCCAGGGCAAGGACTGACATTAAGGTTTATTGATCAAAATGCTTCCTTAATAAAGTGACTAGTATTTGATATTGAGATGGATCCATCCCTCCTACCAGATTATTAATCTTACTAAATTCCACAATACATTCTTCCCTACAACCAATTTACTTTTCAGTACCTTTTTAAACGACCAAGAATCATCATCATTAACTGTTTCCCAAGCCTCTTTAGACTGGGCCAAATTATTTAAAAGACTTTGCCATTCCTATGAAACTTAGGAAACCAGTCATTGAACAGAGGGCACCAAGCTGAAGGCACTGGTCTTGAGTTCCTGCATTTGCCATGGAAAAGATGCCCATTTTTCACTGCTAGGGAAATCCAAAACCCATGTCCAGTCCTCTGATGAAAAGCTTCTGATTTTGTTCTTCTAAGTAGTTCATGAACAGTTTTAAACAGCATTCAATCAAACTTTGTAAGCTATCACAAAGACCACTGCATAAACCAAATCAATGTTTGATTTATAAATACAGAGACAGAGCAGCAAAAACACTTTGTCACCTAAGATGCAATTAATTGGGAATTATGTATATGAACTGTGGTTTGTTGTTCTATATACATATTATCTGAATGAAGAAAATACTGTGACTAGTGACTCATGCATTGGCTAGCATGAGTGTTCATCTTACTTGTTTTTATAGCATATGCACTGAATACTGCCATAGAGGAAAAGTATGTATATTTCATTTGCTCTATGGACAATCCAAGTAGTCTATATGTTAGCAGTCATGAAAGGGATCATTTTACAAAAGTTATTCCATAAATGAAACCCTCAGAAATCATCTATCATCTACGACAACTTTAAAATGTCTACACCAAGTACACCTAGAATGAACAGAGGCCACAAAAGGGAGATTACTAGGGATCTAAGGCAAAAGAGTACAGGAAGAAAACTTCCAAACCAGTTAAAACCAAGCTTTACCACTCCGGTAATTCTTACCAAAGGCCAGTATTGATTTTTGTCAAAAGTTATTGAAGTTTATTAAGTCATATAACCTCTGTACTTACTATTTGTTTCCCATTAAATATAAATTTACAGGTTATTACAATCTCAAGAAATGCATGCTGTATATTACTGTTATAGTGGATCAAGACATGCATGAACAGTTCTGAACAGGCAGAAGTCACGTCCTACAGACAGTTTTGGAGGTACATTCTTGCTAAATGTTTACCATAAAAAGAAACAGTATTCAGACCTGAATTTTCATACTTTGACCTATAAAAAATCAGCTCCAAATGTGCATGTCTTTGTGATCTCCCTGGCCTTGAATGAACAGCCATTTACTCCACATACTGACATTCACCTTTATATAGACATACTATCCCTCCTTCACACTAGCTCCTTTTTTCCTATTCCCTTATATGTATATATCCAGGCAATTGCTCCACTTACAGGGCTTACTCCTTTCCATACCTCTCACCTCACGTCGACGTTTATTTCCTCATTCCTTCTAGCTGTGAAGCATCGCTGGGAGCATATATTTGTTGGTGTTTAAACACATGTTATTTGGACTCAAACAGCTTGTATTAGATTCCAGCTCTGTGGCTTACTACTTGTGTGACCTTGAGAAAGCCGTTTACCTCTCTGAACCTGTATTTCCTTATCTTGAAAATAGAGATAATCATAGTATCTAATTCCCAGGACTACAAATTGTCAAGAAAAAATGAGATAGTATCTGGCAAACTTAAGTGTTTCTATTATCACCTGTCAAGAAATCCATTGCCAAAAGGAACATACTTGCTTTCATTTCTAAACTTTTCAGAAGCAAGTGTTACTCCTCCATCTTAGGACAGAGTTGAGTACAAGTTTGAAAACTTTAAAAAAAAATCAAGCTATCAGGGAAAGGGCATCTTGAGAAAAGGAAAGAATAAGTTAATATGGTCTTGCAATTCTCATAGATCCTACCCGGCCTGATAAAACATCTAATATTGGCTATTTTTATGACAATTATGGAGGAGTCAGAAAACAGAGCTTGCCAATACCAAACCAAAAACTGTCTTTCAAAAGTTCTTCAGAAAACTACACATAGTTACTTAATAAGAGCATCTCACTTTGTGCAATTGTTGGGTTCCCATTTTGGTGTCTGCTGCCAAATTTCTAAATCTTGTTTTAAAAACATGTCATCGATATTGAAGGAAAACTCTTTGGATTGCTAATGGAAGTGCACTCATGGTATAAAGGATCTCTTCCTGAAGCACATTGACTTTATACTGTTTTAGTATTTTTTAAAAGTGCGGTAAGGTTGTACTGAAACAAAGATTTATTTCAGCAATATGCAGTAGAACTTTGATAACAGGTTCATCAGAAGTATCACGGCAACAACAGACAAGTCTCTAATCACCCGTAAGAAAATAAAACTGAAACAAAACACAGGTAACATAGATATTTCTTATTTGCATAGTTTTCAACAATGGAGTCTAAAAATGAACATAATAGGAGATAGCAGTCATTTTTAAGGCTCTTAGAAACTTAAGTCTTGATAAACAGAGAGGTGCAGTTGTTCTTGCATGAAGAGAACTTTGAAAGGAGTTTTATGCTTTTGGAGGAGGGGTAGAAGAGTAAGAAAGCAAAGAATAAACAGCAATATTGAACTGCCTATCACCCAAAATGAAACTAACTTCCTGATCTGGTCAATCTAAACAAGGGTTTAACTAAGGGTATTAAGCTGGTCTTTCAAATTTTACAAACATTGTATTGGACTTGAGACTCTGAACAACTCAAATATTACTTTGAAATATCAGAATTAATATATATGGAAAGTAATAAGGCGAGAAGCTCCAAAAGTGATGTTCAAAGGCAATTTTAAAAGTTTTCTTTTTCTTTTTAACCTAAACTTGCTCAAAAAGTTTAAAGGTAAGTATTCAACTTGAAAACTGTCTGAACAACTCACATATGGTGGCTAAAGAAGCCAAAGCTCAAGGTTCAATCAAGTTCTTGGGTTTTCACACAACATTCATTTCTGCTCCAAATCCTCTTAGGGAGTAAATAAGCAGAACAAAAACAAAAACAAAAACAACAGAAAAGCTGGTGTTCTAAAGCTAGGAAGAGGGATGGGGTTTGTCCATCTTACATCTGATCCCACACTGTTGGCTTTTCCCCTAAGCTGTGGAAAAGAGACTTTCATCATGGATATACACTCAACTTTCACGAAAGTTTATCCTTTTGCCTTTTGTTTCGCATGGCTGCTGAAAAAAAAGTTACTATAAATTAAGAGCATGTGAATTTGGGGGTATGTCCTATAATTAGAAGCAGCAGCAACCTCAGTCTGGCAGTACCCAAGGAGCCACTTCTAAGTTCCCTTTTCATTCATTTTTCTCAATATATTTGAACCAGTTAGGAAATGTTCGAAGTAAAAGCTTTTGAAAGAAAAGCAAAGGTCAAAATAAGATACAATATGGGAGGGGGGGAGATTATTGTTATTTTTTTTAAAACCCACAACTTTGTACTGTTGTTTTCAGCTACACCCCCCCCCCATTGTGTCTAGTTCTGACAGACTCTTTAGGCGGAAGTTAAACACCCTCTCCTACGTACAAGTAAAATAAGTCTTTTTATTACAGAAGTATCACTTTCTGAAAGTAATGCCTCAGTAGGCCTCCATTCAGTTGTTATCAGTTAGAGCATGTTTTATACCCTTTACAGATGTGCGATTCTGACCCTCACCTCAGTAACTAGAGTACATATGTGAAATGTCCCACTCTTGAAAAGCACCAGTGTGTGATTTTTACCTGACTTATTGGCCTAACTTTTAAGACTCTATATCACCATCTCTCATCTACCAAAACTCCATAGCTTTCTTTTTCCTTCAAAGAAGAAACGTGGCCCCAATGTCCCAAGACAAACAAAGCTAAACTCCGTGGAAAAAACCAAATCAATACAACAAAGGGAAGAAAGAGAAGAAGGGGGTGGGGTCGGAGTGTCTTCCGAAAGAGAAGCTGCCAGACGAACTTCTGCAATTTAACGGTTCTGGGGCAGTAGCAGCCTGGTGTGGAGGAAAACAACAAAGATGAGCTCCCCGCCCTCCTTACCGCCGTAGAGCCAGAGGAAGATGCAATATACACACGGATCACCATCCTGGGAACAGAGGCTGCGGTGGTTTGGGTCCTGCAAATGGCTGGAGAGCAGCTGCAGCGAAGGCTGGAGTTGAGCTAGCAGCCGAACAGAGGTTGGAAGAGATGGGTGGGGGAACGTGGAAGGGGAACTCGCTAGAGCCCCGCCTCCTCCCTTGGCTGCTTTCACTGGGCTGGGAGCTCTGCAGTCCCAGCCCCAAACCCCGGAAGGCACGCGTTTGTTTGCATCATTTCTAATTTTTTTTTTTTTAAGGAATCTCGAATAGCACCGCGAGATCTGTTGACACTTTTTTTTACTACTCTCTTCACGAGAACGGGGATAGGCGAAAGAAACAGAAAAAGGGAGGGTTTAATTCAATTAGATTAGAATGAAGGACCTTTTCCCACGGAGACTAAAAGTTCTGCGTAGAACTTCCGGCTCACAAATAAATGCAAATAAGAAGACACATGTTCCTTGAATCCCCTAGGAATCCGCACCCTAGGAAGAAAGCCCGTGTTCTTAAACCCTTGTGCATTTTAAGGACACTGTTTATTATGTACTGATTGTTCTGATGTTACCTGGTGGCAGGAATTGGGCACTGAAGGGCTGAGCGTTATAAAAAGTTTCAGGTTTCCTTCAGCCAGAAATGGCAGGGTTTGATTTCTTTTGCAGCTTTGCTTTTTGTTAAGATTAGGAATCCTGCTTCTGTGTGAACACGCAGGAAGACTGACTGGCAAGCTCAAGAATGGAGGAAGACCTTGAAAACAAAAAAATTAATAATAATGAAAATGCGGTGAAAGTAAATGATCTTTCATTTTTTATTGCATTGTTTCCTTATTAACTGACTGAAGAAATGGAGTTTGGATCCTATATTGCAGGGGATGATGAAATGGTGGACAGAAAGGGAGCAAATGGTTATTTGTCCAGAGAGGCACCATGTATGTGACACTGTAATTTCAAATTTCCAAATTATGTCAAATGAACAGAATTAAGGAACTCACAGATGGAGTTGATAGAGGGAATCAGTCACCTGTCCTACTTCTTTACTTTCCTTTGTACTTGGTTTCTCTCTGTATTCCACTGGTTTTACCACCTTTTCCCATGTTTAGTAATTGTTGTAGCTTTCTAACTATTTCCTGTTAACAGGTTCCCCCTTCTCCAGTTTATGTGATCCATAAAACAACCTTAAGAGATAGATATTATTATATCAGTTTTACAGAAGAAACTGAGTCTCAGGGAATAAATACTTTTTCTCAAAGTCATAGAGCGAGTAAATTCCGGAGCCAGAACTAGACCTCAAGTCCAACCAACTCCAAAGGCCACCCTCTTAACCATAATTGTAACACACTTCCTGGAACAGGAAAAGTACGCAATAATTGTTAACTATTTTTTCCCCTAAAACATCACTTTTATTTGGCACTAAAGACAGCACAGACTGAAATGCTTAAGATAGCTCTCCACTGACTATCAAATCAAACCAAAGTGATACGTTTCTAAGGAGCTCCCGCCTTAATCTGGCCCTACACTGTTTACATAGTCTTCATTGTTCCCTTAAACTAACTTCCCTGCAGAATTATTGTTTACTCCCCACTGAAATCCCAGTACTTACTTGTTTTCATGTCTTTGCTCTTCCTATCATTTTATTCACCTTTTCCCACATCCTCATATTCTTTTCTGCCCTCTGCATCTGCCCAACTCTTAACCTTTCTAGCTCCGATTTAAAACTGTTACACAAATGAGCCAGCAGGATACCCTAGCCACCCTCATCACTGTCAGAGTCAGTGTTATTGTGTTTCCCAGGTCACAGGACAGGGAAAACTTCCTTCAGGTTTTGATTTGGGAAAACTGACATCATTTGCCATCTACTAGCATAGTCCCATCCCTTCCTGGTCAACATGTATTCTATTTGGACCAATAGTCTTTATTGAATTGATGAAAAAAATAAAGAGAAAAAAGAAAAACTCTTCTATTTATTCTACATATACATATGACAAAATTAGTATCTCCAGAGAACTGAGTGCCAGGATTAGCAAAGAGTCCAGGGAGCTTTATCTGAAAGTTAGATGAATGGGAAGATGTTCTTTGATACTTAACTTCTTTTAAATACAGATGTATTAATCTAAGTGAAAATATCCCCACTAAATTGATATATAAACAAAATCTGTTGATTCTTATTCACAAGAACACTTAGGATGTATTGGGGGAAGGGCTTTACTAGTATTTTTCCCCTAGAAATTAACATAACAGATTATATTAGACCTGCTCCCTACTATATGCAACCGTCCCTGGAATGTATGTTCTAGAATGCTCATTTCTGCTTCATTTTACTCCATCATAAAACTCTCTCCAAAACTATTAGTTCATATAATTTGACCGAAAAGGTTAAAGCCTGAGTAAACTAAGATGGATCAATGAGTTTTTGAACAGTATTTATAACCTACTGTGATAAGAAATCTATTTCTCTGCCCTGGCTGGTGTGACTCAGTGGATTGAGTGCTGGCCTGCAAATCAAAGGGTCATCAGTTCGATTCCCAGTCAGGGCATATGCCTGGGTTGCAAGCCAGGTCCCCAATACGGGGTGTGCTAGAGGCTACCACACATGGATGTTTCCCTTCCTCTTTTTTTCCCTCCCTTTCCTTCTCTCTAAAAATAAATGAATGTAATCTTTAAAAAAGAAATCTATTTATTAACTAAATGCTAACATATTTCAAAAATTATAAAATAAATGCATGCTATGTGCAGAAAACTTAACAAACATTGCAAAAAAAATCATCCATATCCCCAACATCTGGAGATAACCACTTTTTAATATGTGGATGTAATTCCTTCCAGGTATAGTCAAAGATAGATAGATGAGGGCGGGTATGAGGGTTTGAGAGAAGAGTCAGGAAAGGGAGGGAGTAAATATATCTTTGAAATTTATTTATGATAAGACACTATTTTGTAAATGGCTCTTTTTCACTTCAAAAATATATTTTCAAAATTATACAGGAAAAAAAAGTCATACAGAGAACAGACTGGCGGTTGCCAAGGGGGGAGTGGGATTGGGGAACTGGGTGAAAGAGTGAAGCGATTAACAAGTACAGATTGGTAGTTATAATATAGTCACAGGAATGTAAAGTACAACAGAGGAAGTAGAGCCAATAATATTGCAGTAACTATGTGTGGTGCCAGGTGGAGACTGGAAATATCAGGGGGACCACTTTGTAAGTTATATAAATGCCCAACCAGTATGCTGTACACTTGAAACTAGTACGAAATGATATTGAATGTAAACTGTAATAAAAAAATAAAACAAATTATCCCATGTTTAAAAATATGAATTTACAAAATGCTTTTTCATGGCTTTACATGGTTCCATTTTATAGATGTCCCAAAAGTTATTTAAACAATTCTGCATTATTAAACATATTGCTTGTTTTCAATCGTTCTGTATTGTACTTACTGTTGAAGTATATATTTATCAATAAATTTTTGCCCACCTATCTAATAATATCTTCAGAATAAATTCCTAGATGTGGAATTGCTGGAAAACTGGATAAGCATTCCAGTTTACTCTTACAAAGTTACAGTTGGGGCCCAGTGTCGCCGTGGTCTACAGTGCAATTAATTTTGTTCAGAAGTAGTTGATGTTACCCCAGTCACAAGAATTTTACCCCCACTCCTTCACAGATTGTCTTGACGTAAGTCCCTAACATGCGGCACTTTTCTAAGGTGGCAGGTCAGTTCTTACAAATACTTCTCTGCTCCATATTCCTTTTGATGGGTCAGGTACTCATACTGCTAATGGTTGAGTACCACACTACCCAAAACATACATTTTGGTTTCCTGCCCTACATTTTTGGGCCAACTGTTGAGCTAGTACAGTTTTAGTAAACTGTACACACCGTGGTAGAATTCGGGCGTGAGGCATGGCTGCAGGTGAACAAAGAGAATAAGAAAGAGACAGAGTTGCGGATATCTGTTCACACGGAAGGGTTCCAACCAGGATTTTAGTTAATATGGGTCGCGTGTATGGCATAGGATAAGTACAAGAAGGCATCTTCCATTCGAAAATTCTACCTCAGCTTCAGTGTCCACGTTTCTCTCTTCCCCAAACTTGTTCACTGCATTCCCTGGAGAGTAGATTTTTTAAAAACATTTTAATTATTTATTTTAGAGATTGGGGAAGGGAGGAAGAGAGGGAGAGAAACATCCATGTGCGGGTCTCTCTCGCGCGCCCCCTACTGGGGACCTGGCCTGCAACCCAGCTCGTACTCTGACCGGGAATCAGACTGGGGACGCTTTGGTTTTGCAGGCCGGCGCTCAGTTCACTGAGCCACACCAGCCAGGGATGGAGGTTCACTTTTATGATGAGAAAACACTCCTACATCTTCAGTCTTTTCTCTGAATGATTTCTACTCCCTCGCCTTAACTGATAGGTTTTTTTTCTTTAGAGCAGAGGTTCCTGTTCAAGTGGAGACTGCTTTTGCTCTCATACCCCACTCAAAGGTATCAGTCCCCAGAAGAGTTCTCTCTCTTCCCCATGCCAAAAGGGAAGCCCTGACTAGGGCAAAAGCAGTTTTACGGCCTTACTCAGCTCTCAGAAGTTGTAATCTATCCCCTTTTCTGAACCTGGTAATTCCTCACTTTCTAGTCTAGGTCTTCGACGTTTTTAAGAAAATTTTGTCAAGTGTCTTCTAACATTTTACATTTCCTTTAGGAGATGGTTTTTCCAGATCACCTAGTTCACCGTGGCCAGAAGAAGAATTTTTTTCCTAATTTTAAACTTTGGAGAAAGTAAAAATACTGTTGACCCCACATTATAAAAAGAAGAAGCCCACAAATACACAATCAAGAAACGTTTAATGAAATGTCTACAAAACATCACCACATCAACTTGGTTAAATATTAAATTTAGTAATCATAAAGTTCATTTCATTTGAAAACAATTGGAATTTAGATTTTTTTCCCCTACATTAGCAGAATTCCCAGGTACATATAATGGTTGTCAAGAAATCACTGTCGAGCATAATTTAATAAATTTCTTGGTCCTAAATAATTTTAAATTTAAAAACAAAATTTTAAAATTGTAACGGTTTTTATTTGATATTTGTTTATTTACATATTTTTATTTTTTGTTTATTTTATTGGGGTGACATTGGTTTGCAAAACCATACAGACTTCAAGTGTACAACTCAGCAAATCATCATCTGCGCACTGCATCATGCG